TTCTGGTGAAACTGGAAGTGATAGAAGAAATACAATCCTGGCCGTTTTTTGTGCACTTCCCTGTATATAGCTGAATTTAGATTGACGGGCTTCATCGAATTATGAAGAAAAAAATGGATCATTTCATTTGAAGAAAGAATTGCTCTGAGCCACTCTGTAATTTGTTGATGTTATGAAAAAGTGAGCACAGATTCAGAAAATGCGTTGAAAATTATTTCAGGAGCTTGCTACATACAAAATGAAAATGAACCTCTCAAGGATTTTTTTGCTGTTCTCGAATCAACAAATAAATTTTCACTCACAAAAAATATAAAGGGTGTTTGGCCCGCCGACGTTTATCTTCAGGTGAGTCGATCAAACTGAAGTAATGTCATCATCAAATTATGTTTTTACTGGAAACTTACATATTCGAATAGAACCAATTTTTCTGAACGAATTTTGTGAGAGACCGAATCACCTTCTTCCGTTGAATACTCTGAACACCCTGTATAGGTTCGATTCGACACGAAACAGTGCGTGATAATATTATTGTTTTTATTCCCACATCTCTAGTAACTATATAATGTTGTTGCTGTGGTTTAATAAAAGACTGAAATCCCGTGACAATTGAACCATGATATTATTTTAGAAATACGATTTTGTATTAAACCACATTTGTCACGCTTTTTCATTTAGAGAAGGTCATTGGTTTAATGGCGTATATATTCGATCTCTATTACATAATTAACAGGAAAAAGTTAAATCAAACAGAGTGTCCCAGAAACATACATAGATAAAATTCTCATGAAATGCTGTATTATCATAGTGATGAATCAATATTTCCAGAAGGGTCAAAACTGTCTTAGGATCCAAAAGATCCACTTTCCTAGGACCGCATCTTCAACTTTTAATCCTAAGATTTAAAGATCTACGTTGAAGCCTATGAACTAAAACTATATATTCTTATCAACTACTTCAGCTCCATTTCTTTTTTTTTGTTTTGGTTCTCACGAAAACGGATATCCTGTAATGTTCAGAGAACATCGTGAGAATCAAGGGAAATAAGGTAGGAATTAGTGTTCTTCTTAAATTCCTGGAGGTTATATGCCTCGGGGAACACTTCCTTTGGCAATGTGTTCCAGAGCCTCGCTGTTCGTTGGATGAACGAGTCTTTGGAAAGAGATGTTCTGCAGGTCTCCAAAGTGACCACGAAGGGGTGCGAAGTCTCAACTCGAGGGGTTAATCTTGCGGAACCAAAGGAAGTAGAATTGTTGATATTTCAGAAGAGCATCGTCTATGAAAATATCTATAAAATAGAGCCAGATCGCCAACTTTTCTACGGTGTTCCAGAGAAGTGAGCGAGTTTGTGAGCGAGGCATCACCCACGACAGGAATTGCTCTTTTTTGGACAGAATCCAACAGTTTCAGGGTTTGTTTGGGTGCTGCACTCCAAATATGGGTACAGTATTCCAGGACAGGTCGGATCTGTGCTTTATAAATCATAAGCAGCTGACTGGAAGTGAAATAGCTCCTGGCCCGAAACAGAAAACCGAAGTTTTTGGGATGCACTTTTAGCAATGGGCTTATATCACAAAAAAAATTTATCTCATAATTCGATAGAACTCACCCAAACTAGCTCACCACCGCAAACCGTTTCTTGCTGTGAGCTCCCTACGTTTTATGAAAAATTATTGAAATCCCCGATTTTTCGGACCTCTGAAAACAAGGCGATGATGTGACGTCAGAACCCTAATACTGAAACAAGACTTTTCCAGACAGAAATGAATGATACATGATTTCTGACAGAGTGAATAAGCGCGAGATCACAGTTGAAAGAATTAATATATCAGTTGCCTCAGTCTCCGTCGGGCGTTTGGTATTTCTATTAACTATGGCGAGATGAAGTTTCTACGTCATAAGATGGTCCGTTTTCAAAAGGTACTATTATTCATGTCCAGAAATAAAACATTCCAGTTAATTTTTCGATCGAATTATGTCGTCGATCATTATTTATGTATAAATGGATCATTATAAACATGGTTTGAGTTAAAAGTTTTACTAAGGTGTACACGCCCATTGATCTTACGTGATTTTCCCAATAAAGGTTTTTGCTGATAGTGATACCAAGCATCGAAATGGATGTCTTCAAAGGTATGGTTACTCCTGACAAGCTTATGTTGGGCACAGTGAGATCGGTTTTTCTAGAAAAAGGCATGTTGTATTCTGTTTGCATTGAAATCTAGGAAGTTATTGGATCCATTCGAGAATTATTGCCAACTCCATATTTATGTTGTCAACATTTCTCCCTCGTTCTTTTCTGATTTGCCTGGCTGGAATTGGAGCCCTGGAAGAGAAGGCGGTATGGAGGGTACTATCATCCGCGAAGCTGTGTACTGGACATGAAGTTGCTTACAACAAATCGTTGATATGGAGTAGAAATAGTGTTGGTGCTAGAATTGATCCTTGCGGAACACCAGCATTTATGATAAGTGAGTCAGATGAAACTCCGTCGACAACTACATGAAGAGACCTGTTAGAGAGAAAACTAGTTAGCAGATAAATAATCAGTTGCTAGGAAATATATCGAATTTGATGAAATTCAAACAAGGACTGGAAGTTATGGTTCTCATGTATTATGTCTCCCCTTGTTTATAGAGTTTCATATCGAAATGATATCAAAGATGCGAGACATGTGGCGAGTTGCGTGCGCAATTCGACACGCGGTTTTCTTTCGTGTAGGGGAATCCTTAAAAGAATTGCCGCATGCGCAGTGTTGCCAACGACTCGGTTATTTCGGTAGATCTACGGAATTTTACATGGACTCTAATTGTATCCCATCTTGTTCAAAGAAAAGGTTTAGCAATTTCTTCACAACACGCATAAATCAAACTGATTGATGGATTGTCTTCATTACCCAAAGAAACATAGTTGTTTATAATAGAGATACATAAACAATATACATAAGGTATACAATTATGAAATAATAATGAGATATAACAAGGAACAAAAATGCAAATAGTCATGGAATGTTAATATTTATGATAGGATAATTGAACCTATGTCGAATGGTAAAATGACAAAAAAATTGGATGTCAAGTTTTCAAGTTAGGACTATCTTAAATTTCACAATTTCTGCATATTTTGGTATCAAAAAATCAAAAATGACTGATAAACTTGACTATAAGAAGTGAATTCTGATCATTTTGACTAAAATAAAAAAAAAACTTGCTGTGTTCTGAAATTTTTTGTAGTACGAGGGTAGTCAGAAAACAAGTTCGATATAAATTTTCTTTGAGCAAAAGTATGTACAAAACAGACAGATTCATGGAGAACATCTTTATCCCAGATCTTTCAGAAATGTGAATCCTTCATTAAAGCTTATGCCCATCTCCGAAATCGAAATGAACTCAAACTTTCATTAGTTTCTTCAATATACGAGTGAGGTTCAGGCTCAGTGATAAATAAAAGTAGGTACACTTATTTCTTATATCTTGAATTACGCAAAAAAAAATGAAGGTGTCAGGTTAGGTCCGATCATTCCGAATTAGTGTTGATAAAATCTTGCTTTCATTGGAAAAATACCTTTTTTAGAACCTGTCCACCAAAGCATCTATAAAGACTGAAAACTGATAAGAAATAGTTATTTATTATACAAGGGAAAAAAGTAGTAGATTTTAGCTCCAGGTTGTGTTGTCTCCCGACGCGTAGCGGAGGGAGACAAAAAACCGTGAGCTAAAATCTAATATTTTTCCCGTGTATAATACACTATTTTTTTCTGTGACAGAAGGAAGGACGAATCAATATTGAGAAGATATTACATTATTTCGAAATCTGAAAATTATCGACGTGAAATTTCAAGTTTTTAACAGTAGGGACACCTGCGTTTTATAGACATCTTCATCATTATTTTGAAGTAATCAAATATCTGATGTCACTTCTGTCAGTTCAATTCTGTGATTTGATTTTGAAAAATTGCGAATTCAGTAGTTGTTTAGTATTATACGAAACCGCGAAGTCGAATGGAAGATAAAAGGACTTGCAGTTCTTTCTCGGAGACGGTATTATTGACTCATTTTTCGGAACTATAGCACAACAAAAGCCATTAACAGAGTATATATATGTGATATATATCCGGGAAAAAAGTAGGTACTCACTTTTTTCCCACGGGAAAAAAGTAATTTATGAAAAGTGACATTTTATAACCTGCCAACAGAGATGAAATGCCAAACTTTTTTCCCGTCACAGAAAAAACAACTTGTTTCCAGAATATGTTCCTGGGATATTTGACACTCACAGTTTTAAGTTACTTCTTCTAGTAGGTTGTATTTTCAAACCAGGTGATAAAAAAATATTTTTATTATTGATAGATGCGGAAACTTTTGGCAATTATTGATAAAATTTTCTGAGAAACTCTAAATCATTTTTTTTCCTCAAGCGGTAAGGAATGTGGCTGTTCTCTGACACTCAACAGGCAGGACAGGTGTACTTTCTCTGCCTAGGCAGAAAAAGTTTGTGACTATGCAACGTTCCATGAAATTGGTAATCAAAATCGACACTGACATTGGGTAAACACAAAATGAGTTTTCAATTGAAAAATATACAAAATTGATTTTACAACATTTGGAGAAAAAATTATATGTATCACATGGCAGTAAATGTAGCACTTTAAAAGTGGCTTTTTTATGACACTTAACAGGCACAGAAAGTGTATTTCTACTGTCTAGGCAAAAAAAGTTTGCTGCCATACAATGTTCCAAGTAATTTGAATCAAATTGGTAATCAAAATTGACATGCAATAAAAAAAAATTGCACAAAATTCTAACATTTGGAGAGGAAATTGTATGTTTCACATTCCAAAAAAACACCAGCCGCGGCATTCAATCTTGTCCTTTTCTGCCTAGTAAAACAAATAACTATTTTTGTTTGTAAACCTGCCGGGTGATGTCTCGGGTATATCCTTCCGTAAACTTGGCAACGTCGCGCACTTGGTCGATTGCAAAGGTGTTTCTTCTTACTTGCCATCGAAACCCACCATTAGAAACCACTTAGTTGGCGGGCTGTTCTTCTACCGCTAGTCCGGACTGTCTTGACGCGGAAAAATCCGGAAAACCCGGAAAAATCCGGGAAGCTGGAAAATGTCTGGAATGAGTATTCGCGTCCAATCGGAGTCTCAGTGACACGCGCAGGATTGCAGTTGTAGCTTCGTTTTTAGTACAGGGTGATACGTAAATGAATGATGTGCCGGACGGTGTCTACCGAGTGATAAAAAAATCCGGGAAATGAAAATGGTTGATTTGAAAAACGAGCAAACGCCTTCGGCGAAAAAATCCCGCGGAATTTCTATAACGATGGTGAGGAATTGGCTTTCCATGTCAGAAAAGAAAAACGTACATCAAGGAGCGCCACAGCCTTTTCAGAAAATGCCGGAAAATTTTTTGCGGTCACTGAGAAGAAGGTCGTTAAGAATCAAAAGGAACAAATCGTTTATTCTACCGGAAAAAAGGAAATCTGGTAAGTCGCTTAGAAATCCAGGAAGGAAGACAACTTGAAGAAAAAAATTATCATGTCAGTCACATATACCGGGTGAAAATGAATTTATTAGACAAGTCATAACGTCTCGAATATCTTCAGATTTCTGAGACAATTCGGAATCAGGATGTAACATTTTTGAAATTTCTTACGCCTACTTCATATTTTAAGAGTCACCTCGAGAGTCACATACAACATTGCATGTAGGTGGCGATGATCGAACGTAAAAACTAATCTAAGGGCTTCAGGTGAAGTTAAAAAATCACAATCTCAATGTTTTAGTCTCGGTTTTAGTGACCAGTTTGCATGGATAGATACATATAGATATAAGACAAGTTGGCAAAATTACGTGTTTATGTCTATTAATTTCCAAATATCAATCATATATTTCGACAAACACTTTAAAATTTTTTCATTAATCTAACGATACTAATTAACTTGCGATTGGATACAAAATAATCATCACCTGATGAAGTCTTCTGGATTCAATATCAAACAAAAGAGACTAGTAGAATAATGAAGTAGGCGTAAACACTTTTCAAAATGTCACATCATCCTGTTTCAGAATTTCCTCAGGAATGAAAAAATGTGACAATATACAGGGTATTCTTTGCAATTTTTGAAAACTGGAGCCATTTCCGGTGAAAGCGGAAGTTACCGTAAAGTGAAAAATATTTGAAAAATGTCCTCTTCATATACCATTCACCCTCGCATTCACCTATACCAAATCTCATTTCGATACACGTGATATTCTAGGAGTTATGACTTCTTTATTAGATTTTTTGACATCCGGTATACTTTTTCTCAATTTCTTCATTATAAAATTGTATTCACGTTCATGAGGATAAATTCATCAAACCTTCACACTCGAAGCGATAATCTAATATGATTTCCTTACGATTGTTTTTCATAGGTAACAATCCAAAAACCACTGAAATTCAGGATAATTTCCTAAGTTCGTGGTAATTCTACGGAGTTTCAATGATGTCAAGAAATTGGTTAGTGTGGCATCACCATGTGGCTAGGAAACTCCAAAATATTTGCAAATAAAAAATTATCTCAAACATCGGGATAAGTAGCAATTGATTATGATTATGGAAAAATGTGAAACTGATGATTTTCAAATCTACAGGGTGTTTGGTTCACCGACGTATATCTCGAAGGAGGTGATGGTAGATAATATGATTTTGAACATATTTAACCATATTATTATATACCTACTATTATACGAAGTGTTTCAATTTTCGAGATACCATCGTTTATAAATGCGAAGTTGAATGTTACCGAAAATCTTTTTTTTTTAATTCTGACGAGCCAAAACATTTTTTTATCATATTTGGATCCCAATTCGTGTTCAATATTGATGAAATACGATTCCACTTTCAGAAGAAAAGAAAGAATCAGATAAAATGCTCGAAATTTGTAACACTTTGTATAATATTTTATATGGTAAAGATTGTTCGAAATGTTCTTAAGTCTGTGAACACCCTGAATAACAAGATTTGAAATGAAGTTCGACCAGAAGTGTTTCAATCGACGTATCTCCTATTCAAATATTCAAAAAATGCAGAATTTCAGAACTATCAAAACATTGGAAAATTGATGGAAGAAATACTTCAAATATCATCTGATGAAATTATATACAGCCTGTATATGGGTATAACAACCACATTTCATGGCAATGGCAGTGATATATATACATATTATATATAATCCGATTTCCTAATCTGAAATCAATTAATTTCTTAATTACCCAGATGGTCCGACTTTCGATTTTGTTTTATCTGTACGCAAATTTATTGTTTGTGCTTTCTATGTGGGAATGATGAAAACTCGGATATAAACGAAACACACAAAACGATTTCGGCTCACGTTTCAAGATTTTTTATGACCTCAAGATTCTACTTGTTCAGTGTGATAACAGTAGAAAATTTCAAGAATGTATTGATGTCGAGAAACGATTTCCTATGGCTCGCAATTTTGCTAGATGTTCGCTCAGAGTTCGAATTCCAGAACCGTGCTTAGGCAAGCCCTTGATTCATCAGGCGGCTTCACCAAATATTCAAATCTACCTGAATGTTTTCTTCTGGGAATAATATTTGCATTAAAGATGTTTCGAAAAGATATGGCATAAAAAATGTATGATGTGGTGTTACTTACCGATATCCCAAACGATAGGATATTAATTCGATTCACCCTGTAGATACGAACTTGGAATAGGGGATTGTCAAACAGATTGATGAGGACCTATTTTCAAACATGAGTCCATATGAAAAAATGCTTGACTGTATTGACATTGCCTTTGAATAATATTCAGCGGACGTGGATAATATTTGGGTACGATATTTGAGAAAGGTGGGAGACCTTAATCGAAAATATTTGAACAGGGATTTCTTTGATCTAGATCGGAGCCTTACTATTGTTCACTTTAAGTCCAGACAGCTGCTTGCTGAACAAATAGATTCAGTGATGTATATATAGAAGTAAAAAAAGAGCATAAATGATTTTTTCCGTCGACCTCGTATTAACGACTAAGTTTAATGTATATCTCGATGTATATGAAATCGTTCATTAATGACCCCTATTAATGAACGATTTGTCTATTAATACACGATTGTTTTATAGGCAACCAAACATACACCGCGTGCATTCATTGTTTATGCTATAACTTACGGAATCTGCATTTAAATCGAAAATATGGATTTCATCGAAGTTCGCCTTTCCAAGTTTCTAACACGATTTTAATCCCTGTTTTCTAACACAAGGAATTTATTTTCTATGTTGATCATTTCGACAAATGTCATATGTCACAAATGTCAGTAACAAGGCTACTGGGTGATTCTTAGCAGTTTCCGGATGAATGATGAATTCGCGAACCAAGTTTTCTTCATTGCAGGAGAAATATAAGGAATATAGTCGACGGAAAATTTTTGTAACCAACTTGTACATTAAAAGGCGAATAATGATCTCGAACATTAACGCGCTCGCTTCGCTCGCACGTTGAAATATCTCGATCATTATTCGCCCTCATTAATACACTAGTTTGTTAAATAACTATTCCGCCATTAGCTATAAAACCTTCCATTATTTACACCTTTTCGAGGCGTGAAGTTTGTTTGTACTATCATGGTAGTTTTCGTCAATTTTTTAACCCCGAATTCACTGAATTCTCTGTTCTGATCAGATATTCGCAGGAATGGCACACTCGAATCTAGTAGGTATTTATCAATGAGGACTTGTCATATACTGTCATGGTCATGGCCAAGTGTTGAAAATATGTGCTTTCAGAGTGACAATAGGCCCACTTTCCGGTTTCACAGAACTAAAATGATCAAAATATATTGCTATAGTGGTGAAAAAAATCAATATAAACCTTGGTACTAACACGGTCAAAAAGGATTTGTTGCATCAACAAATTATTAATGCCTGAATTGTTTTTGTTGGACTGAGCAATTTTTCGTTGAATCAACCAGATACATGATTATTTCATGGAAGCAGCTTGTTCAAATCAAGAATGTAGTCTAATTGAATCAAATAGTATATTATGTAACAAGTGTCATAAACGTCCTTTTAGTAACGAGTATTTTAAGCACTAGCGGAGCAGAGCGGAGCGAGTGTTTAATAAACGAGTGTCTTGCAGAGTTTATAAACGCGTTACATACTATGATTTTTCTACGAACTCCTAAAATCACATTAACATATCTGCAATTCCTGCTAACCTACAAATTAATTCGAATGAAATGGGAATTGAGAACATAATACATGCAACTGCATGCAACCAGCGAGACACGTATAAGTGATATTGGTTGTAGATGTGTCCAGTCCATTGCTTACTAACCTTTGTTTCACGTTTATTGTCATGCTTAGCGCAGAATAAATTGTTCTCAAAGATGGATGCTTCATTTTTACACTTCTTGGAAATATGCAAGTACCAGAACATTCTCTTCGATTTCACTTTCGTCTACTTTTCGCATATATTTTTAATGAAGAATTCTGATACAAACGAATATTGTTTGAATAATTCTGATACAAAATTTGAAAATAACAGTTGACAGTTAATACAATTAACAGGCCAGACATGTCTCAAATTACTGAAGCTGTGTTTAATGAACTGCGTTGCCATGGTAATGTGTTTAAGAAATCGTGTTGCCATGGTAACGTGTTTAAGATTTCGAATAAATCACAGACAATCCGTGATTAATCGATCATTTAGCGTGGTACATATCCGTACGCTAAATGCCATTTTAGTTATGTGAGTAGAAAAAACAAATTATGTCGATCCAAAATAATGTCGATGTTGATTCAACTGTAAACATTTTGTTGATTTGATGAAAAAAATGATCATTTTGATGAGAAATATATCTTTGAAACAACATGCAAGTTTTCTTATTCCGATGTAGCATAGTGAACTCGTTTCGAACGGATTATTTGCTTGAATAGAGCAATGAAATATGTAATATCAATGAAGTATTTTGTTCTACATCAAGTTGAATTTTCGCCTCTAGATGGCGATCATTTCGCCTCGTCTATGCCTGCCCTGAATTCATTATATACGTGAAGCCTGATTCTTCGTGTTTCGAGTTTGATTGAAATATCAGCTGGATAAATCCAACTTTGGATGATTAGCAATTTAAAATAGTTTTGCATCAGCCTATGCATCAGCTGAAGAGAAGAAAAGACTCTAGAATCTAGATCTATGCTAGGAGTCGACTATTTTCTAGTTTAGTCTATTCTATTGATATGACATTTCATAAACCTCCTGAATTAATACTGAATTTGGTTCAACGAAACAATTTTTTCGATTGGAAATACAAGTTTCTCTTGAATCAACGAAATGTTTCATTGAATCAACAAGTTATTTTATTGAATTAACCAAATATTTCATTGGATTAACCATAACCAAATATTCCATTGAATTTACCATAACCAAATATTTCATTGAATCAACTAAATATTTGATTGAATCAATATCTTGTTATTGTGAATCGAACAAAATGAATGTTTGAACCAATTCAATATCTCTTCATAAACAATTCATGGATGTGCTTGATTGATTGATGCAAGAGTACCTATAGGTTTTCCCAAGGATTCTCCTATACAGTGTGTCTGTAAAAGGTCTTTACAAAAACATAGCACATATTCCTTAGACCAAAATAAGTCGATTTAAGTAAAATTACCTTAGTACAAAGTTGCATCGTTTTGGGCTCCAGAGGGCCTTGAAGTTACAATTTTTAAACCGTTTTTCCCATATGTTTGCGTGTTTGTCGTAAATTTTACTACTAGTCCAGTCATTATAGACTTTGACTCGTGAATAATTTTTTAGTGTTTTCATAGGTGTCTCGGGGGGGTCACTGGGAGTGTAAATTCAAAATGGCGACCAAATCAAGGGACAAAAATTGTAGTAAATTTGGTTCTCTACAAGTTTGGTCCCCACAATTTTTCTGATAGGATCGATATTTTGTAAATTAAACCTGAAAAAAGCGACAAATTCGAAATATTTTCATTATCATTTTCATTTTATTGTATACAACTCTCGCCCTATTCGTTGCACCTGCAGAATTGAAAAAGAGGAGATATTGCGAATATTTCTGAATGGGTACATATTTTCTGTTTAAACCAAATTTGTCCAAAATTTGATTCTCTACAAGTTTGTTTCTCCTCATTTATGGTGTAAAGTTGAGAATAAACGAGATAATGATGATATTTCGAATGAGTCGTTTTTTTAAGGTTTAATTCCGAGAATATCGATTTTCGGAAAAACATGTAGGGACAAAATTTGTCCAAAATTTGATTCTCTTCAAGTTTGTTTCTGTTCATTTATGCCGTAAAGTTGAAAATAAACGAATTTGTCGCTTTTTTCAGGTTTAATTTACAAAATATCGATCCTATCAGAAAGATTGTGAGGACCAAACTTGTAGAGAACCAAATTTACTACAATTTTCGTCCCCAAACTTTTTCTGTAGAATCAGAAATGGCCGAGTTATTCAAGAAAAACCGTTTTCTAACAAACAAAAAAAAACAGTTTTCGAACATACGCAAAAGCTTGATTTGGTCGCCATTTTGAATTTACACTCCCAGTGACCCTCGCAGTGACCCCTCCGAGACACCTATGAAAAAAAAAAACCACTGGACTATACACGCGCCCGCTGGAAGTCCAACTTTGAGAATTCCTGTTTTTTCTTTCAGATTCGTTCGTGAACAGCCAAGAATGGACGCTGTCGCGTGCAGTGCCGGACTTGCGGCTAGGTATCGTGGGCTCGCTGTCTTCGGGCAAATCAGCCCTGGTGCATCGATACCTCACGGGCTCCTACATGCAAGAGGAGTCTCCGGAGGGGGGGCGATTCAAGAAAGAGATCATGGTCGACTCTCACAGCTACTTGTTGCTCATCAGGGACGAGGGAGGACCCCCCGAAATGCAGGTTTGATTTTTGAAGAAAAATTTTGAAAATTCGTATTTTGCCACTTTGAAAGTTGGGCACTAACTCTCCAGAAGTCTGAACTTGTGCGGGGTTGGGAAGAGCGGGACCTACAGCTTATAGTGGATTCCGAACCACTTCTAGGGAGGGCGCTGAGGTGCTGCAAGGATTACAACCAAGAATCACACTTTTTTAGGCAAAATGTTCAACCATGCCGGATTCGAACCGACAGCACTTTGGCATCGGTAAACGGCTGTCAAAGCGAATTTGAGCGCCTTAGACAGCTTGGATTCCGTGCCCGAATAAGTCATGACTTCTATAAAAGAGTCAAACAAGTCCAACTTTTCAAATCGATTCGGACTTTTTTGAATTGATTCACCTCAAAAAACAAAATGAAATTTTATTAACCAATGACGTAACCCAATCAAAAAAAAACATTATCTTCTGTGACGGTGAAAAAGTCTGAAATTTTATCTCTGTTGACAGGTTTTGAAATGTCACTTTTCGTAAATTATTTTTTTCCCACGGGAAAAGGTGAGTACTATTTTCACGGATATATATCACATATATACACTATTCATATATCACTTCTTCAAAAGATTGAAGAAGATGTCTTCAAAAAGATGCCTGCAACGCAAGTGTCATTTTTGTTAAAAACTTCAAATTTCATGTCGATAATTTTCTGATTTCAATATAATTCGTCACAGGAAAAAATAGTGAATTATACACTGAAAAAATATTAGATTTCAGCTCCAAACTGGAGCTAAAATCGACTACTTTTTTTCTTTGTATAATAAATAACTATTTTTCAAAATTCTTGAAGCATAATACAGGCTGAGTCCGTTTTTTGTTGCAGAACTAGAACGACATAAAGAACACATATTTTCGAGATGAAAATTTGATGGGAACATTCGTTTCCGAAATATAGTTCGAGATTTTTCGAATGTTAATCAAGTTTTCTCCCACAATTTTCAAAATGATGGATTATAATCTGGTACACCTATCACCGAGCCTATTACACTTTAATTCACAAATTAACAGTTCATATAAATTAGTTGGGGATACAGCAACTTTTTTTTTACACTTCTTTGAAATCAACTTGTTCTCATCTATATTACTAATATTGTAAGATAGGCACGGGAAAACTTTGAGAATAACCATGGAAACGAATCATACATGCCAAACACTGTATTGTCAATTGTCAGCAATGTTCATTCTCTGCCAATCGAATTTATGCCGACAAAAGAAGATCCCGAAATTCCCGATAATATCCTAGATCCTGGAGCAAGCGGCACAAGCGACCGCGAATTCATTACCAGTAAAATCCAGGTCTACTAGTTCCAAGTTTTTTCATTCCTACTACTGTGAAAATAAAAATGTTCCAAGTTTCTTTTGTGTCCTTTTTTATGTAATATTTCATTATTATATTAATAATAATGATAATAATCATATTTATTTTATCCTTTGAGACATTACGAAATGTATAGGACAAGTCAAGAGCTTACAAAATGGTTTAAAAATGAAATACATGATGAAATACACAAAATACAATTATTGTCAGTAAAAATTAGAACAAATGGCAACAATGGCTACAATGACTACTACAAGTCATCCTGCAGGAATTCCTCTATGCTATAATAACATTTGGTAACCATTAAATTTTTTATAGTTCGTTCAAAAGTAGAATTTGGAATTATATTTTTAATGAATGTTGGAAGATGATTGTATAACTTCATTCCCATATATCTAAAACTATTTTCTAGTTTTGTTGTTCTGAGTTCAGATGAATTCAGTTATTGGAAGGTATTGATGTTATTTCTCACATATAGAAGACAGTGATAAATGAACACGCTTGAAGGTGGCTTTACAAGTTTGTTGATATTCCAGTCGGAACAGCTTTCGAATGATTTTCTTTTGTGTCACAAATATTTTAGTTACATCGACTGAGTTACCCTATATTATAACCCAAGTGAATGTATACTAGACTATAGTATACATTAATTATAGCACTGGTGGGCATGGTGTCTCTTATTCTAGAAATGGCATAATATGCCTTATTTAATTTGGTGTTGACAGCGTTAACTTGATCTTTCCATCGAAGATTAGAGTCAATATATTCAAACCCAGGAACTTTGTTGTTGCAGTTGATTCAATCATTGTTTGGTTCTCAAAGTTTATAGTTAGAGTACGTGAGTTGTTAACTATATTATGGGAATGAAAATATACGCATTCTGTCTTCTCAACATTCGCCATCAAACAGTTGGACTTGCACCAATGATGTATCGTTCGCATATATGGTTAAAAGGTGAGATTTCAAATGTTCCGGTAAGTCATTTATAAAAAGTAGAAATATTAAAGGCCCCAACACAGATCCCTGAGGAACTCCTATGTCCAGAGTGTAAGATTCTGGTGTGGCCTCCCCTACTTTTACTAGCATCGCCCTATTGGTTAAAAAATCTGATATCCATTCAAGAAAAATAACTCTAAATTCTATATTGTTTAATTTATGAGAATTTGTCACACGCGCGCGGAAAAATCCCTATTTCCGACCAAGAGCTCGCGTGAAAGATGGTTAAAGTAAATATTCCAAAGGTATGATGGTTTTGATTGAAGTACCCCACAATAGTAAGTATAAGACCACCCGTCTGCCACCTTCAAGTGGGGGCATTAATTCAGGAGGGGGTGTTGAAAGGTCATTTTTTTTGTCAATAGATTAAAGTAGTTCTTCCAGACTGAAAATCTGGACAAACGTTTCCTTTGTGATTGTGAATAAAACTGTGCTTTCAGATTTTGAGCAGACGGGGGCGTTATCGTAGCAGACGCCGTCAAAAATATGTCAAAAATGTCACAAATGACAAAAATGAATATTCCAACTTGCATTTCGCATCGAATGATAGACAATGGAAATATCTACAAGTTTTCTTGGGAGAAAAAATCAGCAGACAGCGGTCCAGAGCCGGCAGACGCCCATTTGTCATGTGAAGTGGTTCCCTTATTTTTTTTCTGGACGATATCTCGAGCGATATCTGAATGATGTTATTCCAGGCTGAAATTCGGTACATTTGTTATGTTTCTGGTTGTGAATATCACTATGATCTCAGATTTTGAGCAGACAAGTCGTTATCGAAGCAGACGCCGTCAAAAATATGTCAAATATGTCAGAAATAAGTCAAAATTGTCAAATAACAAGAATAAATATTCCAACTTGTTTTTTGCATCAAATGATAGAGAATCAAAGAATCTAAAACTTGCCTCTGTAGAAAAAATCATGAGACGGCGGCACAGAACCGGCAGACTCCCATTTGTCTTGTTGAATATCTCTAATATTTTTTCGGACGATACGTGAGCGACGTCATTCCAAGCTCAAACATGGAGCATAAAGTATTTTTTTGTTCAAAACATTCACAATATTTTCAAATTTTGATGAAAGTGAAAGTCTTCCTTCTCTTATATGCAGAAAGGTTTCCAAATTATTGAAAATTGAAAAATAAATAGGATACAAATCCAGACAAACAGTGTTCAATTAACTTGAACTAGATGAATATTATAGATTTAATCAAAGATGAACATAGCTTTCATCAAGAACAAATAAAACTCATGGAAATATGCCATTAACTTCTACTCATCATCGTCTTCAGATTCAACTTCACTTGAATCATCGGCAGCTACTAGTACTTCATTTAGGTTTTGCGAAAATTCAAAATATTTTGCTTCTGACATTTCTTCTGTTTTTGAATCATTTATTTTCTTCAAATCGCGAGTAACCTCGGACATAATTATGTTCAGACGTTTGAATTTTCACGTATTCTTCTATATGTAATGTTTGTAAAGCAGCTGCTAATATTTCATGGATTCTCTTGCAACGGTTGAAGTGCGTCCCAGTGATGAATCCTCTGAGCGATCCAGGTGCTAGTATGATGTCTACCTCACATAGTATGTGAGGTGCACCTGATTCTCCTATATATTCTCCCACAGCTTTGAAAAAGGCCATTTGTATATGAAAAGCGCCTAATAATATAAAGACACTGTTGAATCTTGGATGCTCAGCGCTCTGTATTTGTTTCTTAGCTATGGCTAAATCGTAGGTAACACAAATGTATTTTTGATTACACTCATCAGCTACTTGCTGGGCCATTTTCAGAGTATGTAAAACAACAGAGTAAGAGAACAGCAAAAAGATCCAAGAAGCTTTCAGTAGAATGGGAAAGAGTGAAACGCTGTCTCATGAAACAATTGAAGGTATGCATCGATATTCAATAGTAATTCGATAATTGAATGATGTTCTATTTTTCCAGATGTAGAAGATTACGTTTGCGAAATTTATGGAAAACAAAAATTATCCAGCGTCAATAAGGCTCGGTTCGAAATTTTCTTGGATTGGTATACAATCGAATCAATCTCCTTTCGGGGGTATCAAGAATTTTGAGGCCAGTCGTATCCCTCCTTGCAAGGATACATTGACATTGATTTGCACAAAATACAACGTACAAATCAAATTGCAGCTATTTGGAAATTTACTTTTAGTGAGAAACCAAACTTCTTCAACCCGGAAGGAAATGGATGGGTTAAAGAAGACGGCGAATATAAAATAAGATGGTTCGAGAGCGAACAATTTCCGCAAAACCCAAATGAAGTACTAGTAGCTGCCGATGATTCAAGTGAAGTTGAATCGGAAGACGATGATGAGTAGTAGTTAATGACATATTTCCATGAGTTTCATTTGTTCTGTTCTGTTTGTTCTCTTATTTTTTTCTTGAGTTTTCTACATTTTATGATGTAAGTTATGTTCATCTTTAATTAAATCTATAATATTCATCTAGTTCTAGTTAATTGAACACTGTTTGTCTGGATGTGTATCCTATTTATTTTTCAATTTTCAATAATTTGGAAACCTTTCTGCATATAAGAGACGGAAGATTTTTACTTTCATCAAAATTTGAAAATATTGTGAATGTTTTGTGAACAAAAAAAATACCATGTGCTCCATGTTTGAGCTTGAAATG